CGGATCTGTGAACCCAGGTAAAGATGTGTGCACAGTGACAAGTCTGGTCTAGGAATCCTGGGATTCTGAAGCATGTCCCACAGTCCAGTTCCCCAGGGAAACAAGAAGCACAAATGAGAACAAACAGGAGACGTTTCCTGTGATCTCCTGACTATGCCGCCACACTGCTGTCCCCTCTCGTCCTCTAACTCCCTCTCTGGCTAGAGCTGATGCCGCTGAAGAATGGCAAAACCGCCTTCTCGTCCCTGGAGTGGGTCTCCCGGTCTCCACGATGCCTGAACAAGGGCTAACCTCCATCAGCACGGCCCCTATGGTGGCCGGATGGGGGCCGTGAGGAGGCCCTCAGGTCACACCAAAGCACTCCGCCCCGCAGAAGCTGTTCACGGGAGGGGGCAGGGGGCACCGACGCAGAAGGGCTGGCTGCTTCCCTACCATCTCTCGAGGCAGTGAATGGTACACACACAGGTGTCCCAGCTTCTGCTCTGCTCCCCTCGGTCAGTGTGACGGAGGGGGAGGCGCCCCAAGCAGCACATCTGGACCAGCGAAGCGCCCCGAGGAAAGGCCTTCCCCTCTCAGGAACACCGTGAGAGGTCCCAGATGGCCTCACAGCCCAGCTCTAAAAAACTAGGCGGCAAACACACTAAAAGTCTGATACCAGTGCCTCGAGAACGGTCAAGTCCATCCTACTGCCCCACATTCCGTCCTATTCAGTGAATCGCCTACGAAAGCTGACAGTGTTCAGGCTAATGAGGGGTAGTGCTTACTCCTCTAAAAGAGCAATATGAAGACATATTAAGAAATGTCGATAGCGCCGCCTGAGTGGCTCAGTCAGTTAAGCGTCTGCCTTCGGCTCAGGTCATGATCCCAGGGTCCCGGGATCGAGCCCCGCTTCGGGCTCCCTGCTCAGCGGGAAGCCCGCTTCCCCCTCTCCCACTCCCCCTGCTTGTGTTCCCTCTCTCGCTGTGCCTCTCTCTGTCAAATAAATAAATAAAATCTTAAAAAAAAAAAAAAAAAGAAATGTCGATATGAACACCTACTTCATGCTAGGTCTCCTGGAGGATTTCAAGTGCTTTGGGGTCCAAAGGATAGACACACCCAGAGGGATCTGGCCCACGGATGGAGACAAAGAAAAAGAGGAAGGACAGGAGAAAAAGGAGTTGGGAGCTAGGGGAAAGGACAGGGGCGGGGGGAAGCATACAAGATGGGAGAAAAAAGAAGTGAGAGAGGAAGAAGTCAGAGCCCCCTAACTGTATTCAGTTCTGTGACTAACTTCAAACCTGGTTTTGGGGATGGTCAGATGCCCACTTCCAGAGGACTATATCCTACGGAGTGGATGGCTGGGACTTTTCCCACAGAAGGGGTGCTGATTACAGGTGGCTGAATTACTAAACTGGCCCAGAAAGGCCCATTTAACTTACAGTGTAGCTAACTATAGAATTAATAGCACTGGCCCATGTTCTGGACGCACAGGTCTACATGTGCACCAATTATTTACATTTCTTTTCTGTTCATAACATAAACTTCCTGTATTTCTGAATCTACCAATTCTGCCAGAATGGCCAGATCGGAGCCTGGGACGCGGCCAGGGCTCCGTATTTCAAAGCTGCACAGTGATCCTGGATGTGCAGCCAAGATGGAGGAAGCCACTGTTATGGAGCCCCTCGAAGTGCCGCATGGAGGATGGAGCCCTCCTGGCAGTGGTGGTGGCAGGTCACTAAGTCAGGGCTGCTAATGGCTAAGGGACGTAATGCACACGGGTGAGTCCCCTGCAACCAAACGGCAGAACTATTTCCTCTGAGTGGTCCAGCCACATCTGCCAGTAAAATAAGGAAGCAGGTGCCAGGAGAAGGACAGCACCTGGATTTAAGTACCAGTTCCATTATTTTCTAGGAGTATGACCCTATGAGGGCTGATTTAACCACCTGATCATCAGTGTTCTCAGGTGCAAAATAGGGTGAACACACCACTCACCTCACAGATAAATTTAGATGATTAAAATGTACAGAAAGCACCCGGAAAAATATGTGAACCCCGCCCCCCCAACAGTGACTTCCTTCCACTTCTTCAACTTAGGAGGAAGCACTGAAGCCTCATACAGTTTTCTGACTCCTTGGGAGCCAGCTCAACAGTGAAAGATGGGGCGTCTCTCCCACGGGTCTCTTTTCTTACATCTCCACAGCCAAAATCCACTAACATGAAAGGGTTAAGTGCTCTTAAATCTAAGCTTTTCTTTCTAGACGGTTAGGAGCCCAGATTTACCTTTACACACCTGAACTTGCATCTGCTTCAGAGGTGCCCAGTAACCGTAAGCATCCTAGCCCCTCTCCCCGGAAGCACACCTGGCTCTCGCAGACAACGTCAGGAGACTAACGGGGAAGCTCTCTGAAGCTTCATTTCCTGCGAGGCCCCCCTCAGAATTCCGTGTCACTGACACCCCACCCTGCCTGGGTCTCTCCCAGTGGGCAGGATCTGGCCCGCACGCCACAGCCACTGCCGACCCGCGTGTCAGCCCTGCTCTGGCTACTTCACAGACATCCACCCCCAAAGACGCACCATGACCCTCTTGAGCAGGGGGCTATTCTTCTCAGCTCCATTTGAAAGAGGAGGACACCGAGGCACAAAGAGGCCAAACCACTTGCAAGGGGCCGAAATGGGAGGAGGCACTGGACCCCAGGCAACCCGGCCCCAGAGCCCATGCTCCTGGCCTTTACCACAGACCTCACTACAACTGCCTCTCGGTGTGACAGTCACGCCACCAACGGCCCAGCCAGAGGACGACGTTTAATTTCAAAAGCACCTTCCCTCTGGTTCCCAGGGCGTGCAGCATACAGTGTTTCATTTATCCTGCCAACAACCCTAAAAAGCAAGTAGGAGACATAATAATATCTACATTTCACAGAGGATACAACTGAAGGTGAATCCATGAAACGTTTTACAAACTCCTATACTGTTGAACTGCACAACTGATTTCAGTGTTTTTAATACCATCAACATGACAGTCTTTTGAAGTCTTCCTACTCCAGTTCTTTAGTTTCATAGAACTACCTTAAAAGGAACAAATGGCACATACAGATACCCTGCTAGTCAAAAGCAGGTTTTTCTGACTCCCAGACTAGAGTTTTCTCTGAATCAGGCTTACAAAAACTACATCCATGTGGCTTACAACTTACTAGCATCCCTAAATACGAACCAAATAAACAATGCTTCTTGAAAGTAAGTAATAAATATGTCCATACACTAGCTCTCTTAGAAAAATTAAGTTACCTTAAAATGTACTAAGCAGAAAACTTTAAAGAAAACCTAACTGACCTAACTGCAAAATAAAATATCACAATAAAAACATTTCTCTTGTGCACCTATTTATGTCTCTTCAGCTGCTACTGGACTGATGAATAAAGTAGCTGGCTATCTCTAGGAGCCATGGGAGCCTACGGGGAAGATGTCAAGAGGCCCTGATTCTGTCAACAGGGAGCCTGTGACTCTCTGGGGACCATCAGGCCACTCCCCTCAGGGGCCCCTCCCTGGCTACAGGGAGCTTCAGCAAGACGAGTAGAGCACACTCTGTGCAATAAACTCAGGAAAACGCATCAGAGGAACAAATAATGGGTGGGATCTGGAAAACATTCCTACACAACTCTGAAAGCATTCTCATTAAAAAAAATTAAAAAAAAAAAAAAAACTTAAAATGCAAGGCAACAAGTAAGTTGCCCATAACTACCGGGACATTCATTCCATGTACATTCTGGCTTTGTAATCATAGAATTTGTATTTCTCAGCTCTTGGTATTTTGCAATTCTGTGAAAAGATAGCCAAGGTCAAAGGCAGGTTTGCAGGTATGTAAGTATAAAAGACAAAAACAAGCTAGTCAGCCCGAAGAAGTGTTCATGAGAGTTCCAATCTCCAATGAACAGCTCACTACAACTAATTTTAATTTGTGGTTCTAATGAATGACATAAACTTTTATAGGTATCAACAAAGCTCAGAGAGGACTTAAATCCATTTCAGTGCTCATTTAGCAGCTTCAGCTGTGTGCAATTAAAGCATCAGCATTAAATGTTAGAGAATAAAATAATGAGACACTTAAAAAATAATCTGCACTTCAGCAGACCATGCTAAGAGATTTCACATGATTTTTTAAGGAACATGATTTCTTAGGAATTTCCTGCCAGTTCAAAGAACTAACTCAAGTTTGATTTTTGTTTTTAGACTTTGGTTTGTTTTGCTTTTGAGTAAGAATTTTCTGAAAAGCGGAATACAATTAAAAATGTCTCAACAGCAGTCACAAAACAGCATATGTCATAAAGCAATCAGGTATGCAGACCACCGCAGCTGATTACCCAGGCTGCAGCAGAGACAAAAGCACATTTCTGACCATGTTAAAAATGTTGCTTGTTATTAACTTATGCCTCAAATAAAGAAATAAATATTAAAGGAGGGGAAAGGTACTTTCTGGGGAAAAGACAACTTTCTTATCTTCTAGTCCATACATGGAATTAAGGGGCTCAACTCTCTGTCCCAATAATATTTGAGAATATAAAATGTAATCTGAGGTTGTGGAACGTGGCAGCTAAGACTGCTAAACTCAAGTTGCCACTGTTTCTGAAAGAAAGAGGAGGTAATCTGCACGGGAAGGGGTGCGTGCTGACAGGGAGGGGGTGTGTGTGGAAGAAGGTGGCGGCTGGCTGCTGTGGATGTGAGTTATGTGTGAGCAGCAAGGTAATCTAGCTGTTGCAAAACATGAATAGAAAAGGAGAACTATTGTATGGGGAAATGCACTCACTAAACTTAAATTTTAAAAGGATGAAAACACAGATTACACTTTATTTTAAAAACTGAAATGAATTTTAATACAGAAAATGAAGACAGCATTTTGCAAATTTATCGCTCAAAGGGGTATCTCTATTTGAGGAAATCAACGTGTTACACTTTGAGAGATGAAATGTTACAGCTTGTACACCAAAATTAAAAAATGAAATTAAATTAAAAAATGAAATGGTTACCAAGGTAATGCAGGTCAGGGGATCAAAGGTGAAGGGTCACACATTATTAAAAAGAAATCCAAAAGGACGGCTGCATCATGATCTCTGCAAAACAAAGGAGCTCTAGTAAGTAAAACTAATATCTCTGAGAATTTAAAATCAAGTTCTTGAAAAGAAGACTCCCCTGTAATTGAACACAAGTCATTCCTGATTCCGTGTAGAGCCATTTTTATTTAGGCACAAAACGAAATTTCAATTACCTGTTACCAACAAAATTTTTGTAGAAATTTAACCATACAATCATATTAAAACCCAAAATATCTCCAACTATAAGTGTTTGAGAAGTACTGACATTTCCACTGGACCCCACACCCTGTTTTCCGGAAATGACAGTGTTTGGTAAGTTGCCAATATATCAGAAATCTAATTTGGTCACAGTGTGGTGAGTTTTTTTCCTCTTCTCAAGGAATGAGTTCCAAAATTGAGTTTTTGCAAATTTGTTTCATTTGAAGTAGCTGCATAAAATTTCCATTATTGGAACATTTAGTATAACAATGTTCTAGAAGACAGCAATAAAGTGATACATGATAAAATAAACTGTGTAACTATCTATTAAGATCTGTTCTCACATTCAACTCTCACTGCACAGAGGGGAGAAAAAACATTTTAAGCAAAATAACTTGCAGTTCTACTGGAATTACACAGAATTAATAGAAGCTTGACAACAGGAATCTCTGACAATGAAAAGTACCTGACAGGCTAGGCTTCAATATCTTGTTATTATTTACTCATCTTCCTCATTAAGAGGAATAATAGTTTGTTTTAAAAAGGACAAAAAAGAGCTAAGGTTTTGTTTTGCAACACAAAGCTACCGTCTAAATCTCGACATACATACTTTGCAGCAACAGCAAGCGTAACAATTAACAGTTACAGCAAATATTTTCCATATTCCTTCCACTACTAAAGGAAGTGAACATGATCATGCAGTAATCTTTAGTCAGCTCTCTAAAACCAAACTGGAGCAGGCTACATTCCCTGATTTCAGGACCCACAGTACCCAGCATTTTACTGGACCGCAGGCTCTAACCGGCAGTGCAAATGATGGCTCAAGGGTGGGAGGGCAAATGGGAACATAAATGTCACCACTCGAAGTAAAACAGGACCTGATTTAAGTACCACCCTTCTTCCAGGCCCCTAGTTGCGTTGCATCCCACAGTATCCAACATCAGGGTTTACCTTGTTAAAATCAAATTCCAAAAATACTTCTATATTAAAATATAAACAACTGCCCAAAAGGATTTTATTAAAAGGAACAGCATATTCTTTCTGATGGCTCAGAGCAATCAATAAATAAACAAACTCTATAAACGTCAGATTTCTGTTTCCCCGAATTAGGTTTTGTTAAAAATAACGTGCAGATCTTCATGCACTAGATACAAGTGTGTTAGTGCCTTAAGGCCATGATTCTAAAAACATGATTTCTTTTTTTAAGTTCCATAGCTACTGAAAAGTAAACTAGCATTTCATTTCTCGGGAATGCTCATCTCCCGTAAAGTCTGTCACATATGTATTTGTTGCTGGGAGGCATGCAAGCAATTGGGAGCACTCCGGCAGGAATCGATAGCCACCAAAAAAAGCGCTGGTGCTCACACCGCTCCAGCCAGTTCGCAGGAGGAGGCAAGAAGCCAGCGGTGTAACGGTAGTCAAGCTGTGTTTTACTAAAAGATTTCCTATGAAAATGAGAAAAAGGGTACTAACTCAGATCAAGTATCTACACACACCCCTTCATTATCAAAACACATGTACTTATCAAAATAATTTCTTCTTAAAACAAGAGGAAAGAGCACCTAGAGAGGTTTCTGCTAACATCTTCTAAATCACTTCTAAAATTCACCAACTCAGAAAAATACGTTGGCCCAAATGCTGTACCAGTTTAACCCCTGCCAAAAGTTGCGGAGACACCAACCCATTCCAACGTGATAGCAGCCCAAGTAGTAAGGAACCGCTCTCACTACAACCAACCGAATTCCCACAGATGATTCCACGGAAGGAAATAATGACAATCTAAGTAAAAAACACACAGAAACAGAACTCTCCCCAAGTTCTGACAAACAAGTGGCTCTGAATAAATTTGTGCCAATAAATAATCTACGAATAATTTTGCTAATTGGGGTGGAGGAAAGTAAAGGCCGCCAGGAAGTAGTACGTCCCTAATATTCAAGGGTCCTGGAATATAATTTAATGCCTAAAAGGAGGGCTCAAGGACAGGGCACACCTGGGGAGCACTTCAACCACGCGTTGTTGCCAGAGCCGTTTCACTGAGACAGGCATTTGGAACATAATACGTTTTCCCACAGAAACAATCTGGCAATTTTCTACTTAACCTGAAATCTGTTAAAGCAACAGGTCAGCTATGAATTCTAGAAGCTATGGGACCTGCATAGCTTTTTATTTTATTTTTTCCCAAAGGACTGACCCAAGCTGAAACTTGATGTATACAAAAGATTTTCCTAGCTCCCTTCCTGGGCCCCAGAGTGGCTCAGGAACCAAATTACCATTTTCGGGTCTCCTCCAGGAGCCCCCTTTTCTTCCGTGAGGCCAGGCACTGGTTGACTACAAATGGACTGAATTTATACATAGCAGTGCACGCAAAGACTAAGGAGGCTTCTTCAACCCAAAACAAATCCCTCGCTGGTAGAACTGGCATTTTTACATCAAGGGGCACAGAGGGCTCGTCTACTGCAAGACAGTCCCCTTTCAAAATGATGACCAGTCACTGAATTAAACAAGGAATGATCAAAAATCCTACTAACCCCCCAGAACTTTAGGGGCATAACTAACATGCATGCTATCCTCGATCTAAACTGGAGAACTACGCCGCCATAGTACACACTAATAACATCACGGAAATACACAACCAAGCTTCACTGTCAGGAGACCATCAGGTCATCAGAGTTCCAGTGAAGGACACTTTTCCAGGGAAATCCTCACCCATAGTAAGCTCTCAATGTCTGGATCACTTTTTAGAGGGACATGTTTTCCAACACACTCAATTTGTATTCTAGGTTAGTTTCTTTTTGTTTTTTGCCAAGGACCTGCCAGCATTTATAAGCACAGAGAATTGGCTCATTTCTCAACTAAACAGGACACAGGACAAAGAACATCATTTCTAATGAGGTTAAATCATCACACAAATGCTGCCATGTTTACCTCAAGCATATTACTTACAAAACAAAATACATGGGAGAACCGAAAAGAAATGAAAAATAAACAGCTGAGAAAATTCAGAGTCAGAAAGCTAGGAGACAGCCGGAAACTAACATTACAACAGAACCCTATCTATCTCACTACTTCTTTACCAAATGTCTAGTAACTCAACAATATTATGCTCACCGGAAACTAACCTCAGCAAGTGTATTCAGAGGTGAAAAAGAGAAAATGTCCAGACAGAAGTTTATTACAGTGAGAGGCAAAAAAAAAAAATTTGTTTACCTATAAATATAAATAAATAAATCACCACGTCATTCAATAAAACAGACTAGAATAAAATGCACTTGAGCTAAGTATAGCCTTCAGTTAAGTGGGGATTATATTCCTATTACCCTTTCATGATAGAATTTGTTAGAAATATCATCTACTGAAAAACTAAAAAAATACAAGCATTTGGTCCTCTGTGCCCTTCCAACAACAGTCACCATCTCTACCATTTCTTCAACCTTTCTAGAAATGCATCTCTGCCAAGCTTCTCAAAGACAGTCTGTTCTAAGATATGTGTGTTTTTCTCAAAACTTTCTATCAATGACAGAGCAACCTACGGTTATAATCATCACATTACTTCCACTAGTCCTCAGGAAAAAAAAACAAACCTAAAAACTGCAGGTTAAATACCTTTCTACCCATGATTTTATCCTCAACAGTATCATTTTTTCGGCCTAACAGCTTCAAAGATTCCACAAAAGGATGAAGAGAGTGGGAGGAAGGGACAGCGGAGAGCCCCCAGGAACTTTTCAGAGTGCTGAACGCGTTCATTACAGTGGAGGGTCAGGCTTGGTCCACGCGGCGTGTGCGTGTGCATACTTAACACCGTGCACTCTAAGTGCCGTTTGTTATATGCCAATTATACCTCAAAAAAGCCATTTCAGAATGAGGGGGCACGCAAGACAGAGACTCTGCCCTCCCCTGCACCCTTTGAGCCACGCGGCCAGGCTGCGGTCCCCATGCAGAGAAAGCAGGGAGTCACGGGGGAGCGCGGGAGAGCCGCTTTCACTGAGCCGCTGAACCCCAACTCTGGAACCACATTTTCTAAACTGAAAATCAGGGCACTCTGATGTCACTTCTCTGAGACTACAAAATCAGCTTTAGACAACATACTCCTGGCTTTGCAAATAATATGTAAACTCACCAAACATTCGTCAGATTTGAAATGCATATTATGTCAACTTATAGCCAAGATGCATTCCTTTCTGGTACTATCCCACTAGGGGAAAAGAGTAATACAACATACGCCAAATTCCCCCAAATACAAATTTATTGAAACAAAAGTAAAACAGATTCATCCACTGTATATTTTGCTTGTATATTACTTGTTTCTAAGCTGACTAACTGCGCATGCCCGTGCTTTTTAATAACCGCTCTGTGGCTTCCTACACGACAGTCAGGATCATCAAGATGCCTACCTTTCCCATCTCCTCGTCTATTCATTGATTCTCAAACTTCAAGCTGAATAAGAAAGAACCCCCTACTTAAACCAAGTCATTGTAAACATTGTTTCCCAAGTCCCACCACTAGGAAATGACAATTCAGTGCACCAAAAGAGGAACTGAGCACTGAAGTTTTGGTAAAACTGCCAGGTGAGTCTGACCATAAGAGTCACAATCCTCACTTTAAGAAAAAGTGCCCAGGTAGGTCCAACCCCACCTTCCAGTCTCCCCTCCCCCTCCCCGCCCTCCCCCGCCCCCGCCACACACACACACACCCTGCCTCCTGCAGGCATGGAGTCACAGATGTCAGAACTGCCAAAGTGTAAAGTTAAGGAACAAATTCCAGCTGGTAACAGCTTAAAGCGGTTCTCCCTCCCAAAACTATTAACATTTTTAAAATGCCAA